TCCTCCCGAACGGTCTCCCAGTTGGCTGGGTGCTGTGTCCCCCCTTGTTTCCAGTTGTGGCATCGTACACATTGGCGCCCCAGCTTTGCCCTAAAGCATTCCTCATCTAAGTGCAGTTGTTCTCAGAGCCCCAGCACACCCCTGTGGTGACCTGCTGGAACGCGCTCTGACTTCCCTTTTCCTGGAGGAGCTCTTGTTTTCATCTCCCACCTTGTCCCTTTTCTGTGTCCTGCCTCAGCCTTCCTGACTCCATCGGAGACACAGTGAAGGATCCCGGTCACCCTTCCCCTCCCCAGCTACCCCTTCAGGTCTTAAGTCAGGGCATCCCACTGAGTCCCTGTTTCCCAGAAGAATGCCCTGAGAGAGGGCTTAGCCTCCTATGCAGGGGGGGTGGGAAGACCCCCTCCCCGGTTGCCCTCTCCCCCAGGTGCCTCACCCCTCTGGCTCTCGGTGGGCTCCCCTGAATGGGGGCCGTCTGCCCAGGGAGTCCTGTTTTGTGGCTGGAACAGTCACTGCCCACACTCTCCTGCACAGGCCATTCCAGAAGGCCTGCCTGTTTCCTAGTGTATGTTTAGCCGTACGGTCTCTGGAAGCATCCTGAGGGTGATTCATCCCACTTCCAGCTCTTTACTGGGAAGTGATCCCAAGGGATAGGTACTACCTTCACCCAAAGAGTTTCTCTCCACCTGTGTCCCTCAGCCTGCCCCGTCTTCTGTGCATTCTCCCTTTTTGACTCCTTCCCCTGATCACTCTAGCCTTCCTTTCCATCCTGCCCTTGGGGGCCCTCCTCTGAGCCTCCAATCCTTTGTACCCCTTCCCAGGAAGGAACCCAGTGCGACAGCCCCGACAGGGGCTGGGGGTGTAGCCCCAGGCTCAGGGAACAACTCCGGGGGACCCAGCCTCCTGGTGCCACTACCTGTGAACCCTCCCAGCTCCCCAACGCCCAGCTTCAGCGAGGCCAAGGCAGCTGGTGCCCTGCTCAATGGACCTCCACAGTTCAGCGCTGCCCCGGAGATCAAGGTGGGCCCCACATGTCCCTGGCGGGCCCTGAGCCTCCATGTGTCCTGGCCCCGCATCTTCAATCCAGTCGTTCGCTGTCCCCTTCCTCCAGGTCTCTACCTACCATCTCCACCTCCAGCCCTCGCTCTGTCACCCTGCCTTTCTCTCCCCTTGCCACCCCTGCACCCTCGCCTCCTCTCTGGGCTCTGCACCCCTACCCCACCCTGGGCCTCGGTCTCCATCCCTCCGGGTACTTCCTTGCTCCTGGTCTCCCAGCTGTACTTGCTCGCTCACTCTCTGGTGTCCACCGCCCTCTCCCTCCTTCCACCCCGCAGTCTCAAACCCCATTTCTCCTTATGAGACATTACTTCACACTGCCTACTATCCAGCTCCCCGCCCTCTTCCCTTCTAAGAAAACATTTAAATCAAGAAAACACTTGGCATCTGCTTTCAGCCACTTTGTGCTGTGACTGTACCGGGTTCCTTCCTTTTGCACAGGGGGCAGAGCTGGACTGTCTGGGGGCGTGTCTGATTCGCGTGGCGGGCAGAGGGTGCCATGGACCCACATAGGTGCATCTGGCTTCACGTGGGGAGACAGCCCCGTAGGGTCTCTTGAGGGTGGTGACGTCTAGGCTGGGACCTGGACCAGGTCAGGTGGGTCACAGTGGCAGGAAAGGCCAACAGGAAGGAGTAGCTCTCCTGTGCAGGAGTTCTAGCAGGAGCTGATCCCGGAGCTGCAGCTAAAGGCGAGGCGGGGTTCATCAGGGAGAAGAGGAGAGGGGCGTCCGCTCGGCAGGAGGTAGTGTCTGAGAGGCAGCAACAGGACCAGTGTGTAGACCCTCGGTTGCACAGGAGGCAGGGCAGGAGCGCCCCCACTGTCAGGGCCCAGGCCTTGCATTGCTTCCTGCACCTTCCTTCGTCTGGAAATGGAAGAAATCAGTTAACTCCTCAAATATGATACGATTCTTTGGAATAATCTTCATTAAGTTCTCAGAATACTTTCCAGCCCAGAGTAATCACCAAAATTTTAGAGGTACAGTGGACCAGAAATTCAGTTGTATAGTTTTCCGGAGAAAGGGATCAGTCGCTTTGAGATTGTCAAAATGGGTTCATAATGTTTAAAACAAAAATACTGGGGTGAGTGATGGGGAACTGTAGAAAGGTTATGAATGATGACAGAAAAAGATGTGGTTGGAAAGGTCCCTCTGGGGCCTGTGCGAACAGAGTGGTGTGGGGTGTGAAGGTCGGGGTGGGAGGGGACAGGCCCCGCAGTGCAGCTCAGTCCCTCTGAGGGAGATTTAGAAGCAGGACAGAGAGGCCTCGGTGACGGAGGGGCGTGGGGAATGGGATGGCCAGCAGAGTTAAAGGTGACTGCTGGTGGCCAGAGATGGAATCCCAGAGGGGGCAGGAGCCCGCCCTGTGGCCCCACACCAGCCACGGCAGAAGGGCAGGGGGTCTCTGATGCCCATGGTGCAGCTGGCAGTGAGTGGTGTCCTTCCAGGTGGGGGTGGGGTGGGGTGGGGGTTGTCCTGTGACAGTGGTGGGCTCCGTACGCACCCTGCAGGCTTCCTCCGGGGTGTGTGGCTGTATTCAGCATGTATCTTCAGAGTCTGGTGGTGTGTGTGCCAGGTGCCCCTCTGCCAGGGGGCCACTCAGTCGTGTCCAGGTTTTCTCCCCTCTGTTAGGGGCTGCGGTGGATATTCTTTTACACTAACCACCTCTGCTTAGCTGAGCCTCGCCTCCCACCAGAGCGGGTGGGAGTGTCAGCCCTCGGCCCTGGACCTCAGGCCGGGCACCTCTTCCCTCCCCAGGCCCCTGAGCCTCTGAGCTCTTTGAAGTCCATGGCAGAGCGGGCAGCCATCAGCTCTGGCATCGAGGACCCTGTGCCCACGTTGCACCTGACAGAGCGAGGTGAGGGACCAGGTGGTGGGAGCGGGCCAGCGAGGAGGGGCTGAACGCACCAGCCTCACGGGCTCTCCGGCCCCACCTCCGCCTCCCCACAGACATCATCCTGAGCAGCACGTCGGCGCCCCCCGCCTCGGCCCAGCCGCCACTCCAGCTGTCGGAGGTGAACATCCCACTGTCGCTGGGTGTGTGCCCTCTGGGCCCTGTGCCCCTCACCAAGGAGCAGCTCTACCAACAGGCCATGGAGGAGGCTGCCTGGCACCACATGCCCCACCCCTCAGACTCTGAGCGTATCCGGTGAGGGGCCACAGAGGGGGCTGGGACCCCTGAGTCTGAGGGAGGAGGCTGCAACTGGGGGTCTGGTCCCCGTCCTGAGAGACGAGGTGAAGTTTCTGGGCCCTGACCTGGGGTTCTGCACTGGAGGCAGGGTGATTTGATGCCCAAGATGCTCCCTTTGATCCCACCGGCCCATCAGACAGCAGGGGCTGGTGGGCATGGCACTGACCCACCTGTTCCCCCACAGGCAGTACCTCCCCCGGAACCCCTGCCCGACGCCCCCCTACCACCACCAGATGCCACCCCCACACTCGGACACCGTGGAGTTCTACCAGCGCCTGTCGACCGAGACGCTCTTCTTCATCTTCTACTATCTGGAGGTACAGCAGGGCCCCCGGGGCAGCCTCGGGCCCCCCGGCTTCGCCGCCACCGCCGCCGTCCCCCCTCGGGCTGGAGGGGTGAGGTGGGTGCCCCACTGCGGCCACCGGAACCGCACCCCCTCCCCATCCCCCAGTCCTGGGCCCCCAAAACCAGACCCGTCCCTGTCCCCACTTGAGTGCATAAGCGTCAGGACTGTCGAGGTGGAGGGCTGGGTGGGTCTGCTGCACAGCCAGGGAGCCCAGCCCCCAGCCCCCCTTCTGCTCACCCCCGGCCCGGCCCGCAGTGCGCGTCCTGGTTAGTCTCAGCTGCGCACTGGCCCAGCCCTGGGCCTCCCTGGAGACCACTAGGGAACCGCCCCGCCTCTGCCTGCCCCCAGTGAGTCACGAGTCACCTCCGCCCTCGTCCCGCCTTGGGAAAGGCTCTCAGCCGCCTCTCCTCAGCTCTCACCGCGATTAGTTTCTCTTCTCAAAGCTTCTCTGAAAGCAGTTTCCACCTCCTGTCTCACTTTCCTCCTCCTGACCAGCGTTGGTATGTTCTGTGCCCCAGCCCATCTCTACTTGGACTGTCCAGCCCAACCTCGGTCTGTGGCGGGGCCTGGGGTCAGCCCTGTTGCCCTGCCCTGTCCCCCTGGCCCCCACCCAGTTTAGAGGTTCCCTGACCCCCGTTCCACCCTTCCTTCCCCAGGGCACTAAGGCACAGTACCTGGCAGCCAAGGCCCTAAAGAAGCAGTCGTGGCGATTCCACACCAAGTACATGATGTGGTTTCAGAGGCACGAGGAGCCCAAGACCATCACCGACGAGTTCGAGCAGGTGAGGCCCCTCCCTGTGCCCCGCCCTCGGCTCCCGCGGGCTGAGGCCCCACAGAGGCCCCACAGCACATGCAGGCCGGTGGCCCCGCTGCCCCTCCTTTTTCCACCACCTCAGGCCATTCGCCATGCCTGGGCCATCCTTCTCTTCATTCCTCACTTGGCCCACTCCTGGTCATCACAGAGGTCCTAGCCTCAACGTCCCTTCCTCAGAGGGGCCTTCCCTAGCCACACACACAGCCCATGCCTCTGCCCCTCCCCTGGCGTGGTGGGGCTGTGGTGTCTCCCACCCAGGCCCAGGGGCTGCACTGCCCAGGAACCCTGACGGTCCCCAGCCCCCTGCACAGCAGGGGCTCAGCAAACACAAATGGGGAAGCTTTTTTTTTTTTAACATCCTTCTCACGCTCTGACAATTGATCAGTTGGAATCTCCCACTTGCAAAACACTCTGGAGCCAGACTCCCTGGTTTGGACCCAGCTCTAGCTGGTGACTGTGGACGGTTCACTTGAACATCTGTCTCCATTTCCTTATCTGTAAAAATGGGGTAACAGGACCTACCTTATACAGTTGTCATGAGGATTAAATGCGTTAAGAACATGTAAGTACTTAACGATGCCTGCTATGCAGTAAGTGTCATGGGCGTACTGTACTTTATTTCAGCTCTTAGTCGGTGTGTTCCACAGCGGTTTTCCCACCAAGTCTTTACCTGATGCCAAGCATTGAACAAGGTCCTTGTCCTCAGAGAACTTGGTTCCCTCCCCTTCGTCCTTTCAGGTTCTTTGAGGCATTTCAGCCATTCCATCAGAGGCCAGCCCCAATCCTACTGTCTTCTCTGACACTCACTGCAGGCTTCCTGTCTCCTCCTGGTTTGGTCCAAAGCAACCCTCTTAAGTTAGTATAGTTCCAGGCCTCAGTCCTTCAGAAGTTCCCACTGACCACTGTTGCTAATAAAACGTCTGTCCTGGCTGCGTGCCTGCTCCGTTCTCTAGGACAGGGCTGTGGCCTCAGGGTTCTGTGAGGACTGGACACTAGGACGTACATCACATACGCGGCACCTGAGCAGTGCTCAGAAGCCACAGCCGTCACAAGCAGCAGCAGGATGCTCGGCACACGGGCCCGGGCCTCGGCCCAGCTCTGGCACACGGCCTCTCTGCGCCTCCCTCCACTTCCTCTAAGGCGGACGTGATCATGTCTCCCACCTGAGACGAGCGCTGTGAGGGTGGAGTGAGACGGCGCGTGCGTGCAGGGCTGTTGGCCTGAGGCCTGGCACATCCACGGCCCTAAGAACTGTCCCCTGTCGGCCCAACCCAGATCCCCAACCACCTCCTCGTCCCCTCACTGACCACCTTCTCCCCCGGCCAGGGCACCTACATCTACTTTGACTACGAGAAGTGGGGCCAGCGGAAGAAGGAAGGCTTCACCTTTGAGTACCGCTACCTGGAGGACCGGGACCTCCAGTGACACCGGCCCCTCCCTCCACCCTCCCCTCCCCCCGCATGCTGATCCCCTGCCCAGGTGAGGGCCCTGCCCTGGAAGACTGGGGGGAGGCCCCAGGCCATGGGGCAGCCCCCTCCCCCAGGAAGCAGGGAGGGACTGGGAGATGTTCTCTTCCTCTCAGCCCCACCCTGGGGGCCCGGGGGCGAGGGCTGCCCCCTCCTCCCCTCCCCAGTGAGGGACATTTTTTGGTAAACCTATTTTCATTTTGGAAAATATTTATGAATAAATAGTTTTATATGACGGCTGGCAGCAGCAGCCTCTCCTGTACCCCCTCAGAGTCAGTGAGCGAGGTGGGGCTCCTGCCGGCGGGGGCGCCGGGCCAGCTGGGGGTTGAACTGAGAGTTGTACCGCCTCCGCCGATCATCCACCTCTTCTTCTGCCTGGTGCTCCGGGGCCCCCGTGCCTCTGACCTGGGCCAGCAGGGCCTCTGCCCGAGCCCTCTCAGCTGCTTCCCGCCGGAGACGTTCAGCTCGAAGCTGGTCCAGGGACGGGGGTCTGGAGGGAGAGGAGAGCTGGTTCAGGAAACTGGTCGCCCCAGGAGGCCCCAGCCTCCTCTGTGAGGGAGCTGCCACCTGGAACCTCCTGCCTGTGTCTGTCGTGAGGCCAAGGGAGAGGAGGAGACTGGTGCTGGGGCTAGGAAGCTGGCCTCACCACCTCTACAAGTGGGTGCCCCTCCACCGTTAATCAACTGTCTGACACTGAGCACACCCTGGCCCTGTTTCCTCTTCTGTAGAAGATACTGGCCAGTACAACCAGTCTACACTCAGGTGCCTGGCATCTTAGGGACACAAACCTGCTTTTACTCCAACCCCATGGTTCCTAACCTCTGGTCTCAAACTGAACCTCAGAGAGCTTTTGTTTTAGTGGGTTTTATCTGTTAGTATCTAATATGAGATGGAAACTGAGAAACCCTAACACGAGTGTACGTTCCACTAACCATGAGAGCCGCGGCATTCTATCAGCCTCTGGAAGCCCCGAGAACAAGAGTGAAGAAGGTATATGGTGTTACGAAAATTAGCTAGACTTTGCAGACCCCACCCCAAAGGGGTGTCAGGACCCCTAGGGTCCCTAGACCACATGTTGAGAACACGTCTCTAGTCCCTGATGCAGACCCTAGACCCCGTGCCCTGCTGTCCCAACGAGCTTCCCTGGTGGCCTCGTGGCTGCAGCCAAGCCCCAGGCCAGCCTCCTTACTCCTTGGGTCGTCGTTTCTCAGGCTCTTCCTTCTTTTCCTTTCTGCCGTCACTGCCATCGTCACCACTGCGCTTCCTCTTCTTCCCCAAATGTTTCTGCATCTCCCGCAGAGGGTCCAGGCGGTTCTTGACCTTCTCATCTGGTCCTGGACCAGGGGGAGGGCCCCCTCGCCCTGGGGGGAGCTGGTACCAAGGGGGCTGAGTCTGGGCTTCTGCTGCACTCTGGCCCAGGTATGTCAGGATGCCCAAGGCTTTCTCCTGCCTCTCCTGAGGGGAACGGGAGATGTGAAAATGAGAACGTCAAATGTGTCTCCTCCTGGGGGGAAGCAGGGACAGCCAAGGCTCCCAAGGAGGCAGAACCAGTCATTCAGCCAATAGGCTTGTCATGAGCCAACTCTGCCAGGTGCTGGGGCCGCAACAGACCAGTAATACACCAGAGTCGGGCTTCTGCCCTGGGGGCGCATGGGCAGCTCCAGCAGCAGAAAGCACAGGAAGAGGGGACACGGTGGAGCTGCTTTAGGTTAGGGTTCAAAGGCAGGCATCTTTGGGGAGATAATTGAAAAGAAACCTGAAAGAAGCAGCAAGGCAGAGGAGTAACTGAGGCGGGGAAGCAAGGTCAGAGTCTGAAGGGAAATTCCTGAGAGGTGAGTGACTGGATCTGATTTATATTTAAAAAGCTCCTCAGCACTTCCAGGATCCCTATTGTAGGGTCAGGTTAGAGACCTGGCGGGTCTGCCTAGCAGCCAGCAATAACCCACACTTTTGAGTGCTATGTTTCAGTACTGTTCTGAGTGCTGTTAACTCACTTAATCCTCGCCATTATCCCTGAACACTCCTCTGAGTCACACCTGAGGGCAAGGTGCTCCCCTACCCCCAGCTGCACCCACAACTCGAGTGAAGAGGGCAAGACCTACTTACCTTCTCTTGTCGCTTTTCTTCCTCATACTCTCTGTTGCCTCTGGTCACCCCTTTCCCTTCCTCCAGCAGCTCCCGAAACAGATCCACAGGGCCAGAGGCTGGGACTCCTGCTTCTGCTGCTTCGAGCTCAGGTAGTGAGCTTGCTGCCTGGCTTTCTTCCTTAGGAATTCTGTGCGGGCCTCGGGGGAAAGGAAGTTACAGGTAGAACATTCAGAACCTAGATGTGATTGAAGGAACCAGGACTCTGGTGCTGACCACAGGAAATCACAGATCATGGTGCTGGACGCTGTAAGGAAGGGAGCAGGAGCCCTGGGCGCCTAAAAGAGGCATCTGTCCCAGCCCGGGGAGGGGTGGAGGAATGAGGCAACACCTGGGTTTGTAAGCTACCTTTCAAACAGTAAACTAGAGGGGTTCCCAACCTCGGGAGACTAAGCAATAAAAGCAGGTAATGAAGGCAGCCACAACATGTATTAGAACAGGTGATCCGAATTCCAAGTCGGGCTCCAAGTCACTATCCCCAGTTGATTTGTAATTTCTACTGATAAATGTGAATTTAAAAAGACCTAACTATGTCCCAGTCAGTGTTGACGATCAGATTAGCTAAGGGACTAGAAACTAGGTGTAAACCAAATAGGTTACGAGTTACAAAGAGAGCCTCTGGTGTCTGTGTGTGGGCAGCGGTGCAGGCAAAAGGCTAGCCCGATGGAGCGGATTTTGCTTTCCACTGTCACTTCGCTGTGGTTTCCTCTCTGAAACCATCTCACGTCTCGGCACAATGGAAATGACAGCGTCCCTCCAAGAACGAACGGTGCTTGAGAGATTTTGCAAGTCAAGCGCTCTGCATGGGGACATAACAGCAGGCGCTCAATAATTAGGGGGTTTGTGCAGGCAAAAAGTCGTCTGAGTTTTCTTGAACTGCCCAGGGCTTCATTTATTCACGAGCTCCTACTCTGGACTCAGGAAGTACAGGAGTGGGGAAATACCAAGACCAGGGAGAGGTGGAGGTGGGGGGATCTGCCAGTATGCCCTTCCGAGGCGCGCGGTCCGTAATTCCGCACGGTGTGCACTGCGCCTGCGCGCCGCCCAGACTCTAGGCCCCTCCTGAGGCGCCTGCGCACTCGGCCCCGGAGCCCCGCCCGGCCGGACGTGGAGCTTACCTCTTGCTGAGCGAGTAGCGCCCTCCGCTCACGCTCTTTCTCCTCCTCCCGAGCTTGGGCCTCGTCACGCCGCACGCGGGCGACATTGTCCTTGTTCCGGACGTGCCAGCTCTTCTTGGGTAAGATATTCATGGCGCCGTATCTGTCCACGGACTGGCAGGCCCGCCTCCTAGCACTTCGGATTGGCAAGAGGACGGCCCCGCCCTGTTGTTTCTGCCTCAGCCACGGATTGGTCTAGGGCCATTTGACACACCCCCCTGAATCTGTGGCGAAAGGTGATTGGCTGAGACGCCCACCCCCTCGCCATTAATCACGTGTCGTGTCGCCTAGCGACCGCCTCTTATCAAGAGTCTGAGTCAATCACAAGTGTCCCCGCCCTGACGCTACAAGACGCGACCGCTGACTGGCTAGCACGCCCGACGGGCTCTCTCGCGGAATAACCCTTCACACCAATCCATAGGCCAACACAGTTGATTGGCTTATGTCCCGCCGAAGCCTTGCTCCCGGCTTCAGGATTCAAGTTTCAAAAAATCGCTCAGCAGTCTCCGCAGTGTTTATTGATACGAGAAAGAGGTTCGCTGTAGAGTCAGGGACTTGGTAGTGAATCCCAGGGCCAGAAAGGCATGGGGCCTTCTCCAGTTCCCTCATTTTCCAAATGACGTGACTGAGGCTTACAAAGGGTCTGTGGGCAGGTCTGGGTCTGAAAGTGGGCCTTCACCCTGAGCCAGGCTAGGGAGGTCAAAGAGTTCCGTTGGCGGAGCTCAGCGCCACAGCGCGTTGTGCCAAGAAGACTTTATTCTGCGCCTCCTGGGGTAAAGGGTAGAGAGGTGGAGGTGAGACAGATCTCTCCCCTGTGTCCCTTTCCATATTCCCTGGGACCCCTTCCCAAGGACATGGCCTGGCTCACCGTCTCTATCTGATGTTTCAGCTCAGAGATGAGGCGTCCATATGAGTTAGCCAGGGCCACCGTATATGCCATAAGGATGCTAGAGGAGACAGGAATGGAAGCCACTCCCCAAACGCTCTTAGAGTATCTTCAACGTATGACGTTTTAGAAACCAGGGGTCTGGACCTCCTCCTTCAGACTCAATTAGTCCAGTATCCCAGCCCCCTATTTCCCTCAGACCCAGGAGTTTGGGCCCTCAGACCCCTCCTTCCTTGGAAGCAGGCAGCAGTGTCCCCAGAGCATATACATTCAAACTTAGACCCAGGAGTCTGGGACTCTCACCTGGAGATAAGCAGAAGGGGCACAGCAAAAGCCTGGGTCCCCAGGAAGAAGAGAAAGTTCTGGACAGTCTGAGGGAGGGTGCAAATGGAATTGGGGATCTCGGCCCAGATGGACGACTGCCCCCGGAACGGACCACACAGCTTAGAAGGTGGGATCCTGAAGTGAGAGACAGGCAGAGCTCAAGGATGGCCAAAAGTCAGAACCCGGGAGGGAAGAGGAAGGAGGGAGGGGGGAGGGGGGTGGGCAGGTGCCTCTCACACTTACAGGAAGATGCTATATAGCACAGGAACGGCGGAGATGGCCAGACCCAGGAGAAGGACCAGGGGGAAAAAGAAATTTACTGTGGAGGCCCGGAACGTTCGGGAGGCCGGGGAGCAGGTGGAGAAGAGGGTGAGCTGAGGGTGGAAAAGGAGGGAATCTGAGGCACAGGAATCTGAGCCCCAGACTCTCCTTTTCCTCCATGCAGGAGCCCTGGCCCCTAGCCCCCTCTCCTCAGTCAGGATCCAGGAGTCCCAGTTCTTTTCCACCATCAGACACAGGAGTTCGAGTCCCCTCTTTCCTCAGACCTAAAAGTTGGGATGCCCTAGACACCCCCATCTCCCACATCCAGGAGTCTGTCCTCCAGAATCCTCCTCTCTTAGGATCTAGTAGTCCAGGACCCTCGCATCCTCCCTTGCCGGGACCCAGTAGCCACACCCCTCAGTCCCCTCCTCCCCCAGGACCGAGAGCCCAAGCCCCAATACCTTCTGCTTCAGACATCAGGGTCTCCCCACCCCTCACCTTCTTCAAATAGAAAAGCAGCAGGAACTTGGCCGTGTTGAGCAAAGGCAGTAAAGGGCAAAAAAAACTGCCCACCCAGACTACCGTCTGTGCGTAGATGAGCCCCAGCACTTCGTCCGGCACCTGGAACTCCTGGGTCCTAGCGAAACGACCCAGCGCCCCGGGACAGAGGCCACAGAGCAGCCTGAGGGGCGGGGTGCGATCGGGCCGAGTCAGAGGCAGACCAGCCACGAGCTTCCCCGCCTCCACTGTCCCCCACATCAATCGGAAGTGGGCATTAGCTAAGGAGGGGCGGGGCTTTCAAGTTCTAGAGGGGGTGTGTCTAGAGGGCGGGGCTTGAGGACTGGAAGGGTAGAGGTAATCACATCAGTAGGGACAGGGCCAGAAATGAAGTGACTACCACCAAACTCACGAAAGGAGCCAGGTCTGCAGGCTTTGGGCAGTTCGAGGCGGGGCTAGGAAAGGTGCGGGGCGAGAGGGAAGAGAACAGGGTGGTGGGCGGGGCCAGGGCAAGGGGCGGGACTCTCACTTCCGTGGAAACTGGATGAGCAGAATGACTGCCAGGCCAGTCAGCAGATCAAAGAGCAAGAGTTTGTACATCTCCTGCCCCAGCCGAGTCTCCCAGCACTGAGGAAGGAAGAACGGGTCAGAAAGACCTCAGGACCCAGACATCTGTGGACCCAAGCATCTTGGTCTCCAAATCACAAGCGTATGAGATCAATACTTACTCCAGGGGTCTTCAGGTTTTTCAAACATCTATCACCCCCAGTGAGGGGGTGGTATTCTAGCACCCCAAGCTCCCCTTTCTTCATAAGCCAGGAGTCTGGACCCACCAGGCTCCTCTCCTTCAAGGACCCAGTAGTCCTTGCCCCTTGTCCTCACCGGAAGTTCTTTGTAATTGTAGCCACAGGTTTTGCACGCCACAGCCTCCGCATCACCGGCACAAGTAATCTGATTCCAGAGAGAGAGGAGCAGGACCACCAGGGAGGCCAGGCGGAGAAAGACAGTCCTGGCAAAGGGGAAGGAGAGAAAAGGAATCAGCAGTGGCCGAGTGCCCATCACGTGCCTGGTCCCTCCTGAGTGGAGCGTGCTCACAATTTTCCCCATTTCACAGATGAGGAGACTGAGGCTTACTGATAAGAAGAGTCAGGATCTGAACCCAGATCTCACTGGATCCTATATCCTGGAGATTTCCGTGTCTTATCTGCTAGAAGCAATGTGCCTCGACCAGTCCCACCATCATCCCCAGCCCACCCCAGGATACTGGAACCTGAGCAAGATAAAAACGATCTGGCGGCTCCTGGTGTAGCCCTCCAGCGGGGCAATGAGACTGAACACCGGCGGCAGCACGAAGTTGACCACGGAGATGAAGATGGACGGAAGATAATCCACCACGAGCTTCAGCAGTGGCATCTCCTGGACAAGGGGCCTCTCCTGGGAGGCAGGGTGGACCAGGAGAAGCTCTGGGGTTCTGGGGGAGCCATGCTTAACACTCTCCCCGCCTCTTCTTTCTTCAGCACCCTGAAGCCCAAGGTCCAAACCTAATCCCCACTCATCCCTCCTCTCTGAGATTCCAGGCATCATAGGCCTCAGTCCCCTGCACCCTTGCAAATGTAGATTCCAGGACATTTAAACGTTCCTCTTCCCCCTGACCCTGCACACCTGCAGCTCCACAGTGGCCCCTGTCGCCCAGTAGACGCCGTAGAAGGCTGCTCCCAGGAGTGCTAACACCACCAGGTTGAGCAGCAGCCGCACCAACCACACCGTGGCTTCCTGGCCCAGGGTCCGCACCGCAGCCCGGCGCCGCACCACTGCTTCCTCCAGCTCCACCTGAGGCCACAGGAGATGTCCACGTGGCCTCTATTGCTCCAGGCCCGGCCGGTGGTCCAGAGCCCAGGCTCAACGTTAACTGTTGCAACGCCAGTCCTCTGAGAACGTCTGTAATCCTTATCCCAGCCCACCCAGTGCCCTCCGGGCGACAGCGTAGACCTGGCCCCGCCCAGAACCATGCCACGCCCTTCCTCCCAAGCCCCGCCCAACATGTCGTCCTCATTCTAGGGCCCGCCCGGCACTCACGCCGGGTGCGGCGTTTCAGTTCTACTTTATCAAGCCCTTTCTGGCCACACCCTTCTCTTACTTTTGATCCCAGGAGTCTTAGGCCCCGCCCCTTTCCTCCAGCTCGCTTCTCCCTGTACCCTTTGACCTCAGTCATCCCTATAGTGGCCTCCCAGTCCTTTTCCCCTCTAGGTCCGCCTCCTTAGAAGAAAGCTCCGCCCCTCCCCGGTCTAGGTCCGGCCCATTCTCTCAGCCCCACGCCCTATGGTCCCAACTGGTCGTAGGCCCAACCCCTGGGCGCACCTGCAGTTCGTAGTGGATGATGCGCTGGCGCAGCCGCACGTGCACCTCCCCGCTAAGGCCAAAGTCCCAGGCGGAGAACACTCGGTGGCTGTAGCTGGTCAGGGCCCCCGACTCAGCCAACAAGGTCTGCTTCAGCCCAGACACCGAGCTAAGAGAGGGGAGACCCGGGAGACGGTGTGGCAGGACAGCCACGAGCAGGGGGGCGTCCCTCTTTACGGGGCAAAGGCGGAAAATGAACCCTGGGACCTTGGGCATTTGGAGAGCTGCTACCTGGTGAAGACACATACAGTCATTGGAGCAAAAGACCAAGAGATTCAGAGGAGGACAGACACCTGAGAGACAGGGACAGCACTTCACACACAGTGAGAAAGGAAAACGCAGTGTGAAAGCGGAAAAGTGACCTAGAAAGCTGGGAAAACGGGCTCAGACTCAGAGCAAAGGAGGGACAGACACCCAGAGGAGGACAGACACCCAGAGAAGGAGGAGGCAGGTAAAGAGACTCGAGAGAGGGGGACAAAGACCCAGAGAAGGGACAGAAAACTGGGAAGAGAGACTGCACCTTCCCAACCTCTGCGGGCGCCAGCCCCCATCATTTCCCTAGTGGACTCAAGAGGACCCCCACCTGCTCTCCTTGCTTCCACCTATGCCCTCTTGGCCATCCTCCGCTCCTGAGCCAGTGAAACCTTCCTTTTATGTGGATCAGGTGGCACGCCCATTTAAAACAAGCTTCTCCTTGTTCTTAAAGCCTAGGCATTTTCATAGCATCCTCCTCCTCATTGCCCCTGATCTGGTTCCCACCTGCTTCCTGAAGCTCAGATCCTGGCCCCTCTCCTCGTACTGGCCTTTCATTTCCCAGAATACTCTGAACCTCTTTCCACTGCGGGGCCTTTGCACTGGCAGTCCCCTCTGTCTGCAGTGCCCGTGTCTTGGCTGTTCACCTGGCTGGCTTCCTCCCATGTTTCCTGTCTTTCTCTACAGGTCACCTCCTCAGAGAGTCCCTTACTCACCACTCCATCTAATGAAGGTCCCCACCCATTAATCTCTATCGCAGTGGGCAGCACACTACAGTCCAGAGACCAAATCCTGTTTTTGTAAATAAAGTTTTATTGGAACACGACCACTCATTTTCCTACCATCCGCAGCTGCTACTTTGGCCCTACAACAGCAGACTCCAGTTGGGACCATATGGCCCGCAAAGATAATTTCCTTCCCGGCCTTTACTTTTTTATCAGAAAAAAACTTGCTGATCCCCGCTTTGTGGTATCATCCCATTTGTTTTCTACATAGTACAGATCCCAAACTGAAATGGATTTGATTGTTTATTTCATAGTCTCTCTTGCAATTTATCTCCCCTCTTCGTAGGCTGTACAAAGGTAGAGGGACCCCCATCTGGTGTCCCTGGGCCCTGGCACAGTGCCTGGCATTTACAAAACACTCCATCTATTCTGCTTTTTGCTTAAAGTCCTTGGTGTCCATCTTGACCTCGGTCCCTTCCCTTGGGGATCTCCCCTAGTCTTGCCTGAATGCCAGTGAATCCCAAATTTCAGTCCAGACTCCGCAGAACTCACGTATGCAACTGCCTACTCAATATACCCTCGTACATCCAAAAGGCATCTCAGAATCGACCGATCTGAGATTGACAGGTATTTCTTGTCAAAGCCTGCTCTTTCTACGACATCAGCGTCTCCTTACCTACCCCCTCCTTCTCTGAGTCCCGGTCCTCTTTTCTCTGGGTGTCTGTCCTCCTCTGGGTCTATGTCTCAGTCTCTTTCTTGGTCTTTCACACCAATGACTGTGTCTCCTCCAGGTAGCAGTTCTCCAAATGCCCAAGGTCCCAGGGTATTTTTCCTGTTTGCCCTGCTCTTTCTACAGCCCTCCCTATCTCAGCTGATGGCCAACACCTGCAGTCATTCTCAACGTCCATCCTTCACCACAGCCCACAGCCAATTATTAGGGAATCCTGTGTCTTATTGCGTATCACGCATCTCCCCTGTTAAAATGTCAGCTCCAGGAGGACCAGATTCTATTGGGGTTTTTGTTTGTTACTGTTTTGCCAACTGCTTGGCTCGTGGTATCTGCTCAATCAAATATTTGTTGCTTGAATGAATGAGTCACCCCTGCTTCTGTCCTATATAGCACTCTCCTCTCCAGCAAAGATGTAATTAATCTGCTTACTTGCTTAATATCTTACCTTCCCCACTAGACTCCAAGTTTCTCCAAGGGAGAAACTTCCCATCTTTGGCCCTAACCCTATCCCATTAACCCTAAACATGAAGTATTTTAAAATTTGATCTCAACTCAGAGAGAGAGGGACCACAGAACGAGGCTCAGAACTCTTGGGGAGGGGGCTTTTGCCACTTCTCCCCACTACGGTCCCAAGGGGTCTGGGTATGGGGGCGCCACTGACCGGTGCAGGATGAGCAGCAGGTAGAGGAGGCCGATGGCAAAGACGGAGCACAGGTAGGTGATGGCCAGGTGTGGGCGGGGCGGGAGAACCCATAGAAGAGAGGAGACCATTCTAGAAAACCCTGGAGAGGGAAGGGCAGGGCAGGGGTCACCGTGGGGCTGGGTGGAGGCGGGGTTCAGGGAGCTGGGCCATCAGGGTTGAGGGGTCACTGATGGCACTAGGCTCGGAGTGGGGTCTCCCAAGGACCCAGGCACTCACCTCTCCCGAGAGCAAGTTGAAGAGCTGGGTGGAGAAGGCGACCAGGCCCTGGGGGTGGGGGTTGTAGAAGCCGCAGAGCGCGGAGGCGTTAGGGGCAGGGGGACCAGGGGGAGCCCCTTCCAACCAGGTGGGCAACAGAATCATGCAGATCGTAAGCACGGAGGCCAGCACGTTGAGAAGCAGCAGGAAGCGCAGCAGGGAGAAGTAGGACTCGGTGCCGGCGCCAAACTGGCCTGCAGGGGAGCAGCAGAGAGGACTCGGGCTCCTTTCCGAGTCCGGTCCCAGCCCC